ATAAACACACAAAACACATTAACATTAAGAAACAAAAAAGAAGAGAATCCCAACAGGTGAAAGATTAGTTAGACTGTAGGTATGCAAAAAAAAGAAAAAGAAAACAAAGGATAACCTGAGTCACACCACCACATCACCACCCAATCAATCAGCACACAAGAATACAGGCCAGTGTAACCACAATCAGTAGTGGCACACGCACCCACACAGAACTGCTGATACTGCTGCTGCTGTCTGCATCACCCTTCTTGTTGTTTGTGAGTTCAGGAGGAAGTGTTGTTGTGGTTGAGGTTGTGGTGGTGGTGGGTGTTGTGGTGGTTGAGGTTGATTCCTCATTATTGGGTGTATTGGGAGCGGCAGAGTCTGTATTCTCTGAGTTGTTGGTGTCACGTGCACCATTATTCGGTTGAGATCCCTGAGTGTCAGATGTCTGTTCCTGCGTGCTACTCTTCTCAGGAGTGTTAGTACTACTTGTACTGGGTCCAGAAGAAGGCGGTTGTACTTCATTTGTATTTCCTTGTTGTCTTCCTTCCTCTTGCACTTGCGATTCTTCAGTTGGACGGGTATCGTTATTATTAGTGCTATCCTGTTCTGTTGCTCTCTCATCTGAACCACGTGAAGATAATGTTCCACTACCTTTTCTCTGTTCTTCAGAAAGTGAAGAAGATTGAAGCCCTGGTGAAGAAGAAGCTTCAGTTGAATGTGACGTTTTGTCGTGAGTTTCCGCTTTTTTTCCACCTTGATGACTTGGCCCAAGTGTAATGGTACCTTGTAGATCAGCAGCAGGCGCAGCTTCTTCATTCTCCACCTTGACTTGGGCGTCGCAGTTTTGTCTCTCTTTTTCAGTTTTTGCTGTTGCACATTGTGTTGTTACGAGAACATCTTCCAGCGTTACTGAAGTTACATCAGAACCAGAACGTCCACCACCAGCAGCAGGCTGAGGAGCCCCTTTAGCTTCTTCTGCAGGTAGTTGCACCGCTTTGGCTTGTGGTTTGCAGATAACCTCTCCACCTTTACCAGGCGGTGAATCACATTGTTCCTTTTGACAAGGAAGGTTGCCACCTGCAGAAGCATCACCAGCACCAGCAGCAGGACAAGTAAGAAGAATCTTTGTCTCACTCTCCGTATCAGGGACTTGGTCGGAAAGATCGGCGGCAGGCACTTCTTCAGCGAGGACGTGCACACACGCACATGAGAGCAGGAGAGCGAGGATACACAGCACGTAGCGCATCATCATTATTATTTTTCCAATGGTTGCAGGTATTGTAGATATCGTTGCACCTGTCGTACTTCAATGGAATGCATCAATAAAGAAGGGAGAGAAGAACAGAAACAAACATACATACACAAACAACTACAACAAATACTCACAGTGGAATAGAGAGAGAGAGAAGCAACAACTGCACCATAAAGCGAGAAAACGAAATATGCCACTTGCGTGATAATATGTACCCTTAACAGAAAAAATGAGAAAGAAAAGACCACACATTACCCAAATAAGAGAGAGCCAAACACACACACACAATACCACATGGCTCTAGATTATGTATTAAATTACTGCACAAACACACACATCTGTGTGTACTAGCAAGAGATGTATACCGTCAGTGAGCAGAACAGCCCAGTTTTCTGCAAACACACAACGGAAAAAGCAAGTAATGAAATTATTAGAAAAAGAACACACACACATAAAAGTAAAA